CCCTAATTAACTTCTCCTCCTCTCCGTCCCTCTCTTTCCTCGATCTCTCTACCTTCCCCACCGGCACCGCACCCACCCCCTAATTCCATCCCCAACCCTAATTCATTTTCAATCCTCACTTTCACTCACTACCGTCTCTTCTCTCCATCTCTCTCTCCCCCTCTCTCCTCGATCTCACCAGCGCCACACCCACCCCCGATGCCGCACCCATTCCCTTTATCCGCCTCCGTATCGTCTGCTCAGGCCCTTTCCCCCCGACGCTGTTAACCCAATGTTTTGTTCATTTTGATGTTGAAGGATGCTATCCTCCGCCTCTGAACCACTGGCTACAGCGTGGTTTCTCTTACTCTACGCGTGAAATTCGCTGAACTCTCGGAGTTGAAGGTTATGACGGTGTTTGCTTTAGACGACACCTCCATCTTCTTCGACGGAGGTAACGCTTACCTGTATAACTTTAGGTACACGTGGTTCCAAACAAGAGGCTAACAGTGGCCGAACTAGTTAGTCTACAGGCTGCTACAGTTCTACCGACCACGGAGGCTGGCCAGCGGCTGAACATATCGCTTGTATCCATGTTGTGGCGGTATTGGTGGTTGTTGTGCAGACAGTGCAGTCTTGTGATGTGTGGTTGTGGTTGTGGAGGTATTGGTATGGTATGGGCAGTGATGGTGGAGAGAATGAAGTTAGTGGTGGGTTGTGATAGTAGCAGCTTGTGATGTGTGGTTGTGGAGGTGGTGGACCTGTGGAAGTATAGTTTGGGCGATGGTGGTGGGGGAGAGAATGGAGTGGGTGTATTGCAGTGGTGGTGGCCGCGACGACGACGTGGGTGGTGTCGGTGGTGGGCCCGGGTGGTCACAGAAGTCGACGACGAGGAGATCACATGAGTGGCCACAGAATTCATTAGTGGTGAACTTAAAATTGTGACTAAAAATTAATCTGTGACAGGGGTGGTCACAGAAATTGGTAGTGATCACAAAGAAAATATCTAACCGCGACCTTAAAATTGTGACTAAAAATTAATCTGCGATCAATAAATTTGAAAATATGTGACTGATAGATAACTGTGACCTGTAATTTTTTGATCCATGAACAATAAAATAATATGTGACCTGATTTGTGATCTCGAAATAATTCGCGACCTACAAAATTTTTGATCTGCGACCAATAAAAAATCGAGTCCTATAATTTTTTTTGATTTGTGACCTCAAAAATAATCTGTGATCAATTAATTATGTATATGT